CACCGACACAGAGGTGAATGATTGTTGTAATATATACCACGCTGGCCAAATGCTCGAAAATTTCAAAATTTCGCTCGCCGCGCAATGCATAATAAGCTCAGAAAGTCAAGTGGTAACTCAGGTGATCAAATGAAGTCAAACAACGTGAATGACTTCAAACATTCGACGATCTTCAAAAATAAAACCAATGTTTTTAGATTCGACTCTGTAATCAACGAAAAAAGGGTTTCTCCCCGGCTGCTTGGAGGTAAACGGCACTTCGCTACTTACCAGCTAATCTTCGCGCGTAAAAAGCAGTAATCAGTTGTCTTACGTCTTCGCCTCCTAAGAAAACAGTGATATTCTTTCAGTTCACGGGAAAAACTCTGGGTGTCATGCATAGGAATTGTTTCTTGTGGTCAGTATGTAGGGTCTAAAAATTTTATGGTTACATTTTGCAAGTGCAGGACATTCCACCACTGACGCGTTAGTCTATTTGCTGCAGGCTGTGTATGAGGCAGTGGATACAGGGAGCTGTGGTGCTAGGCTGTTTTTTGCTGACTACTCTAAAGGTTTTGACATGATTGACCACAGTGTGCTGATTGAGGAGCTAAGGAACATGCATGTGCACCCTGTTCTAGTTAACTGGATAATAGCTTTTCTGTGTAACAGGACTCAGGCTGTGAGGATTGAGAACATTATATCTGAGTAGAAAACTCCAAAGGGCGGTATACCACAAGGCACCAAGTTAGGAGTCATTTTGTTTACAATCATGACAAATAATTTATTGCGCTCATGGAACCTTAGAATAAAGTTTGTTGATGATGCCACTGCCCTTGAAATAATCCCTAGGAACAGTGCCATTCTACTCAATTTTGTTACAAACGATATCTACGCTTTTTCTGAAGATCACAGAATGAAATTGAACCCTACTAAATGCTAGCCTGCTTAGCATGGCGGTTTTGGTTGGGCGCGCTAAGTAATAAAGGTGAGCGAGGGCAGAGAAACCGCGAGGAGATTGGGGCGGGAGCAACTTGAAACTTATTTTTCTCGCGGCTTTGCTGCTCGTTCTCGCGCGCTTTGCGCGGGAATTTTGCGGCTTCGCCACTCGTGCGCCCGGCTCGACAAACCGCAGTGCTACGCAGGCTAACTAAATGCAAGGAGATGCTAATTAATTTTATGAGTAATCATAATTTTATTGTGAAACCTACTGTAATTGGTAGTAACACAATTGAGAGAGTCATGACATATAATTTACTAGGCGTTTATGTAAGTAATGACCTGAAATGGAACCATCATGTAGACGTTATAGTGCAAAAGGGAAACAGGAGGCTTTACTCTTTAAGGGTCCTTAAGCAATGTGGTGCACCTCCAGCTTCACTGGCTAAGGTTTATACAACCATTGTTCGTCCTGTTCTAGAATATGTTGCCCCTGTCTGGCAAAATATACCAGATTTTCTATCTTATAAGATTGAGAGCATTCAGAAAAGGGCTATGCGCATCATTTTTCTTTAATGAATTACAACGAGGCATTAAATGCCTTTAATTTAACAACTCTGAGTGACAGACGCGCCCATCTATGCCAGGTTTATATTGATAGACTCCGGAATGAGAATCACCCCTTGCATTTTATGCTCCCCAAACAGGAGGAGGTTGTGCATAATTATAATCTTAGATCTGGCATTGGCCGCTCCGCTCGTCCTACCTGTAGGACCAAGCGTACACAAGAGTTTGTCACGCATAAGTATACCTAGTGGCTTGTACAATTATATTTTCTAGTATTTATGGGATTTTTTGTATTATATTTTAGTATTATAAGTTTTGTAAATAGCTCTGTACTTCAGCCATTCTGTATATTGCTGCAATGAGTCTTAATAAACAGTTATTATTATTATTTTGCGTAAAACGTCGTTAAATTTTGCGTTGTTAAATTTCGCTCCGCAAGAGTTGTTAACGCAAGGAAAAAAACTACAATATGACTGAGCTTAAAGTCAGACCTTCATTATTTGCATCAATAGAAAAATGAATGCACCTTTATTGATGCGTAACTACACGGTTAGTATGTGCGAGATCTGGAACCAACAGGTTTGAGCGAAACGAGGGAAATAGTAGTCTACCACGCAGCCGTTTTTTTTTTGTGTCGTCACACAACGCTCCTGTGGGGATAGCGGGTTGTGTGACGACACAAAGAACGGCTGCGTAGGAGATTAGGGAAATAATCCCTTATCACAGTCTCCGACGTCACACTAGCGGTAATCTGTGATAAGTCCGTCTCAAGTGGTGATTACCTTTTTTTATTTTACGATAAAATGGGCTAATTGTAACGAATGACAGAATATAAAGAGAAACAACGTGGATTTTATTAAACTCTCAAAACCTACAAATAACGTTTTCTTACTTTAACATCAACGGAAGAGACAAAACATTACTAAATACATTAAATTCTATAACTCACAAAACAATTCTAACAAACTCTCTGAAAGTATATCTAGCATTAGAGGAACTCATTATATATTCTACCAAAAACAGCGTGAAAACTGACGATTTCCTACTTCTCCATCAAAGGAAGCGATAAAACATTACGAAATATATTAAATTCTATAACTTACAAAACAATTCCAACAAACTCTCTTCCTTTTCGTTGAAACTATTTCTAGCATTAGAGGAACTCATTATATACTCTACTAAAAACAGCGGGAAAACTGACAATTTCCTACTTCTCCTTCAATGGAAGCGACAAAACATTACCAAATACATTAAATTCTATAAATTACAAAACAATTCTGACAAACTCTCTTCCTTTTCGTTGAAAGTATATCTAGCATTAAAAGAACTCATTGTATAGTCTACCAAAAACAGGGGGAAAACTGACAATTTCCTACTTCTCCATCAGTGGAAGCGATAAAACATTACTAAATACATTAAATTATATATGTAACTCAATTATAAAACAACTCTAACGAACTCCCTTCCTTGGTTGGAAGTACATCTAGCATTAATATATACACAAAAAACCAGATAATTTCCTACGGTATATAGTGATCTATAATAGGAAACTTACGATCCGACAATCGCGACGTTCAACAAAACGTCGAGGAAAAATTGACTCAGCATTCTTTCACTTTTTTGCCATCATCCCAAGTCGTCCAGTTACGTAAAAGAAGGGAATTCAGGTTGGAGCTGAAGAGAAGAGACCGCGTCCGATTACAGACAGAGATAGTAGAATTTATCGCCTTGCCGTTCCCAAGTAAACTTAAAATTTGGTCATTTTAAGTCGTAGTTGTGCGGGGACGGTAAATAAATTTATGGAAAAGCGTGATTCACGTGCAGAGTTGTTGTTCTGCTGATTAAACCTATTGCTTTTTTGACGTTTTCGTTGCCGTCGCTATCGTAGTTTCGTATAAGGTCCCTAATGGATATCAGAAGACACAGGAACCTTTTCCAATTGTCCACGTCCCTAAAACTACAAGAATACATGTCACTTTTATTTTTTTTTTCACTCGAATTTAGCAATCACAACGAGCTTTTAACTACAAGAACCGTACTTGCAGAAGACAAAAAGCTGGAAACATTACGCCACTATAAAAAGGTTGCTCATTTTTGAAGAGGATGATTGCCAAATGACGGAATAATAAAAAAAGGCTGTGAACGACACCCAGACTTCTACAACACAATACCTATTAACCAACAGTAGTTATAATACAGAGTATACACCTTATTCCAAAATCATGGGAAATATCTTTATGTGAATCCTGTAGATACAATCGAGGCAAAGAAACCTATAGTAACATTTTGGAATGAGATGTTTTAGTAAAAGTGCGTAAATACCTTCATAGTCGTAGCCTGAATTTCAGTATGCGATCTGCTGAATGTCAAACGACAGTACCGCTAAAATTTCTTATAATTATACATAATTATGCGAATGTTTGGAAAATCAACCGTTCAAAATCACTACCCGAACAGCGGGTAGTGTCGTCAGAAATTCTGGTTAGCACGGTCGTTCTAGTGTGGACAATCTTAAGTTTGCATGCGTTTTAAAAATTTATCTGAATCATGCAGAACTAGAAATTCTTATAAAACTCAGTTAATATAAACAAAAGTAACTGAACAAGCATTTTTTTTCACTTTCTCTACAGAGTTGACAAAAAAAAAACTCCCGCAAAACTAACATAACCCACCTTTTGTTCAGGTAGGGCTGAATAAAAGCAATATTTGAATATTTGATAGAAGGATAGAAGGACCCATTAATTATTATAGAATTGAAAATGAAAATTGGCGAAGTATCGGGTTCGGTTAAAATAAAGGATGGAAAAAAACGATGCTAGTGCATTTAAAAAAGCATTCCGCGTGACATAACTAACCCACAAAGCATCTGTAATCATTAAAGGCGTTGTAAAATCTACAGCTGTTGAAAAAAAAACACACATGTACGGTAATATCAAAATGAATAATTAAAAAAAAAACCTAAAACCTTAAGAGGAAACAAAATAATAAACCAGCAAACAATAACGCTCCCTGAACCGTTTCAAATATGTAACGTTTGACGATGTTAAACTGGCCAAGGATAAGCTGCAAAACTGTTTTATCTACCAATAACAAATTCGGTGCTCTACCAACCACCCAAGACTATCTAATCCCATATTATTTGTGCAAGTTCCCTAACCGCTTGGCTTCAAAAAAAGGTTCTAACCTGCGAAAACAGCCGTTTCTTCTCGCTCCCCGCCGCTTGGGACGTTTAGCGGAAAGAAGCGTCTGTGCCTAAGCAACAGAAATTTCATACTGATGACGTAAAATCTGTCCGGAATCTGATCAGGAGCTCTGATTGGTCGACGTAGTAGTTGTATAGTTTTAGCAATATGTTGGCGAATGACAGAAAAGACCACAAAGGTCAAACGTAAACGCCATGAATCTATAACAAAGCAGTCAATAATCGTGCAAACGGCTGTTTTAGCAGCATAAAGCTGAGGTTCCTAAGTTTAAATCTAAGTCATCAGTAAAACATGAAAGGGACATTCATGGCACTAATTACGCTGGTGTTTCCTTTTCCTTTCCTTTCTTTCTTCCAGGGAAACTACTTTCACCATTGCTCGAGTTATCGCACAGTAGATCGAAGCTGCAGGTGAGCTTCGATAAGGCAGCGATGCGGTGATGTTCACCAGAATAACAACTGGTCGTTCCAAACCACTGTACTTGCGGAAAGTACTAACAAGGACGCATTCAGAATCATTCCCTTCAGCATCCACAACTTCAGGAAGACGCATCTGGCTGCAGAGATCTTGTCTTTTGGGAATGCAGTCTTCCTTGCTATATAAAATGGCTATGTCCCTTTCACTGTAGCCTTCTTTAAACAGCGATAGAACCACTTCTTTCAAGGCGGCCATTTCCTCACCTCTTGAGTACCTCTTGAAAATGGGTTTTTCTCCATCAAAATCGTGTCCCATTTCAATTTGGCGGGCAGAATGGTCACTTAAATAGCTTTTGGCCCAGTTGGAAATTTGTTTCGAATTTCTAATTACTTTGGTCAAATAGAAAGAAGGATGCTGGTGAATCTCACCTGGGATGCCAGTAGGGTAGCTGTGATTTACTTGATTCTTATCGATGAAAATCCACAAATAGCCTGGACCTGAATTGACACGGTCGGTGTCACTAGGTTTTGAGACTCGGCATTCAAAGGGGTCTATTTCGGAGCCAGAGTCACTCTCAGAGGGGGTGTCACGTGTGCAACCCTCGTCTTCGTCATTCTTCAACTGGATAGAAGATTCTGCATTGGGAGGATTGCAAGAAGTGGGATCGAAATCCATTTCAGAGTCCGAATCAGATGAACTGTAGTCCAGTTTAGAATCGTAATCTGAGACGATGCCGGAGTCGTGTTTAGAATTTGGGCAGTGCTGAAGAACAAGTGATCTGGCCATCTCCAACCAATCCCCATCTTCGCTTCTATAATTCTGGACTTCATCCAGCACGACATGATACACGTCAGGAAATGACATCATCATGAAGGATCGACGGCATACGCACTGACAAATGCCTAGTTTACTGAAAAAAAAAAACAAGAAAAAGAGAGAGATTTAAATTTGGCCAGTTACGGGTCAGGAATTTGACATATGAGTACACATGTCCTGGTCCACATGGAACCGGATATTATTGAACACGGGGATTTTTTTTCTTCGTTTTCTAAAAATACGCGTGGCACGTCGCGTATTCGAATAAAATTTGCCTGTCCATACGAAAACGCTAAAAAGATGGAAATACGATAGTATTCCTTACAGGGCATGCGCCGTATAATGTATGACATTATCATCGTATTGGAAAACTTTCGTTTACGCCCGTCCACAGTTTTCACCGGGTACGTGTTGACGGAAGGTCAAACTGGAGAAGAAATATCTGTTTTTAGTGAAACAAAAACAGATACGTGTGGACAGGGCCTAATACAAACCCCTCTTGATTACGGGTGGGTCAATTCATTTTAAGATACACGTGCAATTCCCCTGATCTATCAGATATGAAAAACTCTTTCAACGGACTGTGCATTGAGCCGTTTGATGGATGATACTAGCTATAGGGACCTTACGATCCGACAATTTGCGACCCGGTCGTTGAATAATAGCCTTTGAATCCTTTCGAATTTCTTCGCGTTTATTTCATGTCGCCCAGCAACTCAAAAGAAGGGAAATTTAGCTTTTCCATTCTAACTAAACATAAAATATGTCCTTTTCACATCGTAGTTGTACAGGAATCATGACAAAGAGATTTACAAAAAGCACATTAAACGTTCCCTTTGCCGCCGCCGCAGTAGTTTCGTAATGTCCTTAATCATACAAAGCGGCCTGACTCTCTAGTTGGTAACACTGGAACAGCAAATACTAAAAAGTGAAATATACTTTTTACACATAAGGTTAGTGAAATTACCTTATTTTCCGTCTCAATCCCAGGTTCTCACATACATATACTATATTCCATTTTGTGAGCGTTGGATCGCGACGTCTGAGCTCTTTAATAAACTCCACTGCCACAAGGGTCTTGCCGGTACCAGCTGCACCCTTTATCCAAAGTTCCTTGTGCCTTTCAATCTCATGGTGGAGGAGCTGGAATTGTTCCACGGTCAAAAGATTAAAGAAGCTGATACCCTGTTTATTGGATAGGACCGACGGGACCTTTCCCAATACGATAACAAGCGATTTCAGAATTTCCTTGACTTTTCCTCGAGGAGATTCCAGCTGATAATCAACAGGGTATCGATCATCTAGAGATAATCCATCCAGCGGCAGAGCCGACGTTGCAGTACAAGATACCAAGTGGTAGGTGATGTAGAACTTCTTGTAGCAGCCGCCATCAACCACAAGAGCTCTCTTTATGACCTTAGCTGTAGCGTGGGCGTAAGATAGCGACTGTGTTTCTGTTCCACTGGTGCAAAGGGTGAAGAGGTGGAGTCCCCCGAGCTCTTGATCAAACAGCAACAGGTCACAGATAATGCCATCAGCCTCTTCACTGTAATTCTCAGCTTTCGTAATGCAGGAAAGCCATGAGCGGGAGGCTACCAGCAGCGAACGATTGCGGCCTCTTGAACATCTCTGTTGGATTTCTCGTATAACCTGCTTTACTGGCTCAGGCTGATTATCTTCGAAACCCTTAGGTACCACGGGGCACCCAGGTTTGGCTTCAAATGGAAAGACAAATTCAGGGGTAAGATGACATTGTGTAGTCCTAAAAAATATCCATAACCCTCCCCCCCCCAGGGAGGGCGCTTTGGCTTTAGACCCCCACCCCCTGGAATTTTCATTGTAGGGGGTGCTTGTCACCCCCCATTTTTCAACTTGGTTGGGTACCCTCTGGAAAGAATATTTGTGTAGAAAAAGTTGTTGCACTATATTTTTACGCGAAAGATATTTTTTTTCTGCGATAAAATGAGAAAAAATCTTTTCATTGATGTTAATACGGTGTCTAATGAACTAAAAGACGTTCTTAGCTAATAATTAACCATAGAGGGCGATACCTTACACTACTGTCTACACGAATAATGTCATCTGCAGAATAACCAGTTGCATTCAAAACACCACGTGAACTTTCACTACTCCATTAGTGAGAACATGTTACTAGAAGGCTTAGAACACGACCAATTACGGTGAATCAAATGTGTAATACAGCAACAACTAGATAACTGGAAGTTTATCCATCAGCAGATGACAATTGTATTAAGGAAAACTATCGCATAGGCCGTGAGAAAAAGCATTTAGCCCACCGTAGGTAAAAGATGATCAATGCAAACAGCAATACTTGTTTGGAGGACTGGTAACAGTAAAATAACTGAAAGCTTGCTCAGCAGAGAAGCTGGTATTTATCAGTAACTCACCAATCTTACTCAGACCCCCTGGAAAAAAACCTCTGTAAGCAACCCCCCTCCCACTCGGAAATTGCCTCCTTTTGGACCCCCCCCCTCCCCCTCGGAATTTCCGTTGCCCTCCGTGGGGGTGGGGGGATGGATATTTTTTGGAACTAC